AGGTAAATAATAAGCCTAATAAATAAATATATCATATAAATACTAGTGGAAAAAGAAAATTCGAGCCGAGAAAGGGGGATTGTGAATTCTTGTGGGCAGGTACGATCTGCAGAGACTTTATTGAAAAGGTGATATTTGAACAGACTTTAAAGAGGAAGAGTTATCCATGAGGCTATCTGAGGGAAGAGCACCCATTGTAAAGGCCATAAACATGAGTGTGCCTAGTGTGTTCGAAGTCAGCAAGGAGACCAGGGGCGGGGGCTGGAATGGAGGGATCAAGGGGGAGTTCAGCCTTTTCATCTGAGTGTAACGGGTAGTGTTTCAGGGTTTTGCGCAGAGATGGGGCTACGTTCTCATCCACAGATAGGGCAGGGGTGGGCAGCACAGTTCCTCATTTCCAGCCAATGTTAAGAAGCCTCAGCATCTTTACCAAGGTTTCGCCTTAACCACAGCGTCAGGTGGGCCAAATGTCCCTGTTGTACCTCCACGTAATTATACTTCTGATCAAGACAAGCCCTGAGTTAAATAATTAAGCCTCTAGACAAATAAACAAGTCATGATTTACGAATTTTCTAAATGCTACTGCATCTGTTGGAAGTCAGTGTTCATGTGGTTTTTAGCAGTCCCAAATATGTCCTTACAGAGACATATATATGCACGGTCATGGAAAATAGTTATTCGTAATATTGTTTCTGAGTTAATATAGAATTCTGTTGATAACTTTTCCATGTTCTATATATTTCTTGAAAATGCTTACTCATTCTTTGCATAGTAATACAATTATAAACTCAATCATGGTTTAGTCAGATTGAATTGGATTTCCTTAGTAATTAATTAATTAATTATTAGAAATTTTTGCTTGGTTTTTGTCATCATGAAAATCAGATGATGAATGCTGTTAAAATAATGAGAAGTTTCTGTTCCAATAATGTATTCTACTAAAATCTACTTCACAATGAAGAAGAAAAGTCAAATAAAATATATTATTTTTATAGTAAATGACACTACCATTGCTTTTCAATGACATTTCTTTATTATTTTGGTCACTGTGGCAATGAAGTTTGCTTGGAAGTAGAGCTGAGGATTTAGGATAATTGAAAGAGTGGATAGATTTAATGATCAGCTTAACTTATATGGGAAGTAAGTTTCTTATGGTAGTCAATTTTGCTGTTCCAGACCACTGCAAGACAAAGAACATATCTGTTAAAGAAATAAATTGAGACACACACAAAAAGTCAGAATAGATGATGTTATGTGTCTTTTATTTGTGACATTTGAATTCCTAAGCTCGCAAATAATCAGTTTCATAAATATCCTTTAGTTTTATCTTGCTTTTCTAATTGATTTAATGGTGTTAGTCTGTTCTTACAGTCAAACCCTTAACTTAATCACAAACAGAACTTAAAAAAAAATGATAATCATGTTTTTCTGATGCAATTAGAAAAGATAATGGAAAACTTTGAAATTACAACCCTAAAAGCTAGTAAAACAGCTTGTCAGATTAGAACTGGACTCTTCCCTCTAGGTTATAAAAGATCTTATTTATTCATTGAAAACTTCTTATCTAGATTTAATAACTGCCCAGAGGTAAACAGCCTGATATAAAAGTTTTTTGCTGTTATATTTTTTAAAGCAGGAAGAAAAAAAAAAACACAATTATTTCCAAAACATGCTTTGTTTGGCTAATTCTAAGAGAGAATCACTTATTTCACCAAGGACCAAAATGACAAGATCAGGTGACAACAGTATCATCCAGGAGACACATCCAACTCCTAGTGATTTTTACCTTTGTGCACATTCAAGACATGGACATACTTTTCCTATGATTGTTTTTTATCAAAGTGTGATACCCAAGGGGTGTGGATGTGATGTAAGGTTAGAGACCACAGGAAGTGATGTGCTTCCACCAATGACCAGAATGATGGATTGGCATAAATCACCATACAAAGATTAGCGGAACTCTATCCAAGTCCCTTAATGCTTTCCCAATTAAAGAGGTGTTGAAAACAAAATGAAACAGTGTAGTATTATGAGAAATGTTAAGGAAAGAAACTCAAGAAGATAAATCAAAATGGTTGAATATGATATAGATAAGAATTCAGTATAGATGAATGTAATAGAAAAGAAAATTTATAAATGTATAAAAATCAAGTCAGGACTTAGCAAAGACACAATATGTTTTGGAGAAAACATACAATAACGTCTTACATGTTCACTGCTAGTTACATCCATAATTCACAAAGACATGAAGAACTTTAGAAAGATTTCAAGTTGGGCTACAGAAATGCTAGTAATGTGGCAACAAGACTTCCAAGAGAATTTTCCCAATGGGAGGACGCTAAGGGGAAAAGGCTGAAGGACAATTGATAAGGGTCTTCATATGTTTAATGGGTATGCAAATAAAGCATTCATTTATCATGTTTTTACTTTTTCTGTATAGACTTTAGGTCTTTATGAATGTGGGACTCTAAAAAGAGGTGAGCTGAAACTCAGAGATAATATTTTGGTTCTAGTTGAATGGAAGGATTTCAGATGTTATAAAGTTTTCAGTTGGTTATACCCTATCGAAGGACCCTATCGAATTTCTATGCCTGAAGATCTTTGAGAGGAGAATCACTTTTTCACCTGGAATGTTACTGATATGGTTTGGGAAAGTAGAGGGAATTGATTATGAAAGCTCTCAAAGTTGCTTGCATTCATTCTGGCCCTCAGAAATGAGAAAACACCCCAGAAAAAGAAAATTAACAACTGTGGAAGCGGAAACTGACTCTAGCTGAATATTCCTCAACCAATTTTCTTTTCATTGTCATGCTCCTAAGAAGCCTTTTTAGACTTCTTATTCCCAATCATCACCCTATCCCCATGAAGTTTTAATACCATATATATTCTTCATATCTGTGCATGTACTTTGTCCCTTTGGAGGGTCATACTCATTGTAATATCTCAGGTTCCCCTAACTCCCAATCAATTTTTGTGCTCTTGGGCAACCACCTTCAATGAAAATGAAGGCTTTCTAAAATAGACCATGGGTCTGAAGGGGAAGTCACCAGAAATGGGAGAATAAAACAAGTTATACATATTTCAACTCTGGCTACAAAGACCATA